TAGTGACCACAGTAGGGTTGGACTTGAACATCTTGGAAGTCTTTTCCAGCCCAGTTGATTCTATGATTCTGACATGAGAAACTTACCACTGACATTTTCAGTTAAAATAAGATGGAACAGCTGAGCAAAGGAGTCAACATCTCTATGCAACCAAATGGCAGAAAGACAAGAGTCCACTTCTTTTATTAGCCATGGTTCAAGGCAATTCACATCTTCCTCAGTCTGAAGAGAAAAAAACAGTATTGAAAGATTAATCTCTTCCAGGAGTTGTCTTTATTCTCATGTATTATCCACAAAGGACTTTATAGTTCGTTTTCTGAGTATCAATCAGAAATTCAGCACTCAGGGATCAGTCAAACATTTATTTGCATTCATACAAGGACTTTTCACAATGGCAGTTGAGCCATTTGACCTGAGGAAAAGTTATGGACAACTTTCATAGCTGAAAAGCATAATTCAGCTAGAACATTCTAAAAAAAGAACCTTTAACATGTTTTCACATCCTCTGAGAGACTCTACAGGAGCAGTATCTCCAGACAACAGATTTTACATGGCCAGTAAGAACACTAACATCTCTTCCAACCAAAGGAAAGACTTACCAGCTGATTAAATACTGTGTCATCCAACAGGTTATACTCCTCAGCTGCCCTTGGGACCAGTTTTTGTCTCGGAGGTTCTGCTTTGCTATTGTCTTCGTGAGTAGAACACCACTCAGCAAGGTTGATTTTCTGCTTCTCTTCTAGAATGCATGAAGTGTTCCCCAAAACGTTTTAAAGCCATCTTAATCCCCCATTGTTTTCCCTTAAAACCCCACTTATTTCAGGGCAAAGTTTTACCAATTCAATCCCTTTTATTTAACCCAGAATGCTGCTAGAAGTCCAAGCTAAACTCCACAATTAAGTGCAGCATGGCAAACATCATTTTTGGTGTTTAATCCCCCTAAGCCTGCAGAATTCCACTGAACTTTGTAACTACCTTCTGCACTATCCTCAGCCCAGATTGTTCTCCAAAGTGAAACATCAATGAGAAGTTGCACAGTTCCTGCACATAACAACTCCTTTTTTGAGGGATTGAAGTTTTCTTCTAACTACTCATTAGGATCATTTCTTTCAGTGGTCAGGAAAACTTCAAGTAATACATCTACTTAAATCAGTTGAAACACTATTTAGTTCAAATGTGTTAAAACTTTTGGGCTGTAGATAAATCTGACATTGAAGAATCTGACAAATGAATCCAAAAATCAATCTTCATTCAAGTCTGACAAATTCAGTCAAAAATGTTATCAACAGGAACAACTTCTGTGCAGGAGGTACAAAATTCTGCCTTCTCTGATGGCTGCAGCTCAATTTGCAAGCAAAAGTCAGCACAGAGTGCATGTTTCTAGACTTCTCATGTAGGCAAAGGCTCCAGTTACACGTAATTCTTCTCCACAAATATGGAGAAATAGGAAAAAATATATTTATCAACTGAAAGCAAAAAGAATGAAACAACTAAATCCCAGCGAAAATTCTATTTAAAATGGCCTAAAATCCTTTAACACTGAGAGCTCAGAGATATTTGCTGTCATCTCATATCTCATTTCAGCTTCTGATTTGGGAATTTTAACAGAGGATCCTCCTGTTAGTTGCTCAAACAATGGGATTCATTGCCAACCCTGAAAACCACCGAGTGCACTGACCTTGCTGCTTCTCTTTCTTGTACTTGACCATCTCTTTGTTTGTGTACCCAGTGCTTCGTAAAATGTCCTCCAGAAATATCTCCTTGACTTCAAAAGGTCTTCCCTGGACTGAAAACAGAAATAACTCTTAAAATTAGCAATTCCTTAGCTTCGTTTAGATGACTAAGTCTAAAAAATAAATAATTTTTATAGGCACAAAAAGTGAATCAAATATGATTAGGGCCTGAGTTAAGGTTTGAAAAGTCTTGGAAAAGTCTTTTCACTGGAGTTTATTGTCTTAAAATGAATGAGCCACAAACCAAACAGTTTCAAAAGAGAAATTCCAGCTGCATCTCTGAGTTCTCCTCAGCCCCTTCCATGCCATCAGGGGCCATAGCAACAAATGCTCTTCAAATTGACAGTTATAAATTGCAATTTTATTGAGATGGGAAAAATCAAAGAGCTATTTTTGTCTGGGATTTCAAAACTCATTCCCTGTGTGTACAGGTCACCTGGAGCACAAACCAGAGCAGAACTTTCTGGCTCTGGTGGAAGATCCCACAGGCTGATGGTGCCACCTTCAGAGCAAACTGATTTCTCTCCTGGGAAGGGAGTGAGGACACTTCTCCCATTTTCCTCAAGTAATTCAAGTCAAATTTGGCTTTCTTTACTGGATCCTTCCTGACAAATGGTCTGTCTCCTAATAATTTATCCTGGTTTCTTTCTCACCAGGACTTTATCTGTGGGCATTAAAAGCTGCTTTTCTACCTTTGGATTTTATTTTCTGGTCCCTTAGCAGACATGTGCCACATCTGAGTTTAGATCCCCCAGGATTCTTCCTTTAGAAACACAAACTACAACTCACAAATTTTCCAAGACTCATCACAGATTCTGCACCACAGGAGCCCACAATTACAAAATGTTGGTTTCTGGGCTCAGGATTTTGTCAGCTCTATTGTCAAACAATCAAACCTTGCCCATTACATTCAAAAAATATATATAAAACCCCTTCTTTTAGTTCAAAAATTCCAAAAAAGACATGGAAAAAAAGCATCTTTTCAGTTGTGCTGAGCCTGTTGAGTCCAGTATGTGACAACAGTATAATCATGGAGAGAGGTTGACTTCCAAAACAAACACATTGATCTAAAAGAATAGGAAAGTGCCAAACAGCAAACTGGAAAGTCACACCAGAATAAAAACTGAGGCATTCCCTTGCAAAAATAAAAATATGGAAAACTGCAATCATGTGTAAATTCCAGATCACTACTCCAACTTGCAAGTCTTGTTTTACCAGGCAGAAATTCAGGAGTGGGAACCAGAAATAAACACTTCATCTGAGAGAAAAAAGTATTTTCTTCTCATAAATAAAAGAATGATTTGTAGAGAAGATTCAAAGCAAAGTGATCCCCTCAAACTGTTGAGGTTCCCAAAGCAAGGCTGACATGCAGATGGGCAGAAAAATCATTTCTCCTCACAGCTTCTCTTCAAAACACACCTGGACACCATTCCCTGCAAGGTGCCAAAGCAGGTCACCCATGCAGGGAACTTAGAAACCAGGAGGGTGAGGATAAAAACTCACATCTGTGCTTTACCTCCACTGAGGATGAGTCAAAATTCAGTGAGCAATAATAACCTCTCTTTGCCTCTGAAGCTAATTTAGCTGCAGAGTTCTGCACCTGCACAGGAACCAACACACCTGCATGTCCTTTCTGCAGGTTTGCCTAGTTTAACAGCTCTTAATTTCCTTTCAAGTGAAGCATCAAAAAAAAGCAAACCCAATTTGCCCAGGGCTGTGCAGTGTAAGAGTTATCTGTGTGTGAGCCAGAAAGGCATGGCAAGGCCTGTGAGGCCTGGAGAGCCTGAAGCTTCTGGAATGTGTTAGATATAACACTCTGGTACCTGGGGTCTCTATCACCTGGAGAGCTCTTAGATAACCTTTCCCTGCTTCTTCAGCGAGAGCCTGAAGCTTCTGGAATGTGTTATATCTAACACTCTGGTAGGTCCTGGGGTCTCTGTCACCTGGAGAGCTCTTAAATAACCTTTCCCTGCTTCTTCACTTGAACACAGACAGGGTCAGGACATCCCTTTGTGTACAAAACTCCCAGGAGACACAAATAATTCAGAGAAAACAGGCATGAAAAGACAGAGAACCAGCACTGCAGCAGCTCCCAGGGCATTTCTCATGTGCCTTTCCTCAGGAGACTTTGCCAGAACTGAATATCTACAAATCTTAGGGCACAAGATTCTCATGTGCCTTTCCTCAGGAGACTTGGCTACAACTGAAGATCTACAAATCTTAGGGCACAAGTTCTCAGATCGAAGAGGTCACATAAATACTTACTGTGTATTATTGGGCAACTTCCAAAATAGCTAACAAAGAGATTTGCATCTAGTGCAGCACTAGAAATAATCAGCTTTAAATTGCTCTGGTTTTGCAACACATCTCTCAGTTTTATCAACAAGAAGTCACTGAACCTATCTCTCTCATGTACTTCATCCTATAACAAAGGGAGACAACCAAAACCAACAGAGAAACAGCAGATTCAAGGTTAGAACTTTTGGCAAATATCAACTTTTTCAAAAAAACTGAAATATCTAATCGGGTGGCACGTTAAAGAGGCATTAAAAGTCTAAGTGTGGCTGAAATAAAAATGCTTTGAAAAACTACCCAGAAGAAAAAAAAAGATACTTCAAGAAGTTTTCTGGAACTGTCAGAACAAACTGCACAGTGATGCACCTTAATTTCAGAGGCCAAAGTGAACACCTGAAATTTCTGTAATTCTTGGAGCAGAATCAAATTTTCAAGGCAATTCCACAAACAGCAAATCCTACAGATCTTGTTTGAATAAATCCTCACCTGACAACTGATGAAATTAAAGAAATGATACCACTTAATCAGAAAGAGATTAATTAAGTCACTCACAAAGCCTCATCAGTGAGGCACAACTGATCCACCATCAGTCACTCCTCTGTTGGATATTGTGAACACATGAAACAGGGACCCCAATACAAGATCTGTAGGCCTCAGTTTAGAATGTCTAAATAATTTTCATGCTTTTTACACTCTGATAAACAGCCTTAAAATTATCATCATTTTTTCTGTCTTCAGCAGTGGAGAACCTTCTGGTTCCATTGACTTCTCAAATTCCACAACAGGAATATTCACCTAAAGAACACACTTCAATTATCTGCTAGACTGGACATTATCTTGACAACATTGGGCAAACAAACACCCTGCAAACTTGACATTGCTAAGACAAGTCCAGGGTAGCAGAAATTCTGACACACTCACATGAAACCACATCTACCTAAGCCTCTCTGAGGCTTTTCTGCTGACAGAGCAAGCTCAGAAAAATGAAAAGCAACCTCTGTCCTCCACAACTGCATCATGATTCCATAATTAATGACTGGCATGAACCTAAATTAAGGTACTTCTACAGAAAAAAAAACAACCAACCAACCCTAAAAATGTATATGCTATGATAAACACTTAGGAAGTCGTTAACGTTGACTTGGATTCTAACCAAACAGAAACATCTTCATTGCTCAGTGAAGAAAACAAGGAGCTCATCCCCCAATTCATCTCCCAATCCACCTCCTGCTCCACCTCAGGTGCCAGACAACAGCATTCTTACCACCATAACGTGGGTGACAGTTGCCAGGGTGCTGTCTCCTGCCGTCAGCGTGCGAAGGAGCATCCCGTTGGTGCAGAAGGTCACCAGAGTCTTTGGAGAAACCCTATGGAACAGGTCATCCAAACACCTCACTTTTGGCTCCATTTAAAAGCTGCTGCTTCCCACCACTTCCTGACAGCTCCAGGGTGGAAGGACCTCATGCCCAGGAGTGGAATGAAGAGTTCTCTCACCAAAGAACTCGCTCGTATGACCTGTTTTGAAACTAATTCCCAGAGAGTTGCTGAGTTCATCTTAGTGCTGCACGAAATAGCAAAACACAAGTGGAAAACTGTTCCCTTTCACTCCTAAATACCCACTACTTGCAAAAGCACATCCTACCTGTGCTTTACACATGGGATACTACCAGGCTGCATCCCAAAAATGCTGTGGATTAAATGTACACAGCACTGAAGATACCAACACCAGATCAACTGACTTGGAGAAATGCCATGAGTACCTGCTTTCAAATCTGATCTGATAACCAATTGTTTGGCCAATCTTTTCTCCTCTCTCTGCTGCCACTCTCTCAGCCACAGCAACAGCAGCCAGACGCCTTGGCTGAGTGCAAATCACTCGGCAGGGAGTCCCAGTTTTGTAGCAGTCATCCAGAAGAAACTGAGGGATCTGTAAAGAAGTGGTGCAAATTGCCTTTTTTAGCCTGAATTTTGTCACGGGAAAGAAAAAATGCATCTCAGGATCACATAGGCTGCAAAAAGGTTCACCATGGGATTATCACTGTTGTAGGAGCAGAAAGGGAGCAAAAAATAAATTTTCAAGTATAATCTGTTTGGAAAAAAAAAAAAAGTTGAAGCTTCAGAGAAAACTATAAAAAGGAAATAAAAAAAAATGCCCTGCAAGTAATTCTTCGTGTTAACACAATAATATCTCACTCTGGATACCAAGAACAGAATTAGTTTTAGAAGAAAAAAGGGACATAAAAAAAAATTAGAGCTGCTTTCCCTCCAGTATTTTACATTGTTTTCATGAAAAAATTGGTATTTATCAGCAAATTGTGCAGAACTGCTCAAACTTTTAGCACAGAGCTGCTGACTTAGTATTTGAAAAGCAAGAAAGTGACTTGGAACCCAAGATTTCCCACCATCCAGGAAAACAAAAGCCTTAAACCTGGCACAAAGCAATCCCTTATTATCCCAAAATTGCCATTACTTTGTCTCTTTTATTTCATTAAAGGAACATACTTGAGTGGTTTTTCCTGATCCAGTGTCTCCTATAATCAGCACGATTTTATGCTCCTTTATTGTTTTGACAATTTCCTCCTGTTTCTCAAAAACTGGCAAGGATTGCCTGAAGGAATCAAACTCGGTGTCCCCTCTCTTCCCTGGGACCTGGGCGATGCCATCGTTCAGCCGCCCAGTTGTTTTGTTCCCTTCCTTGTTTTCTGTGAAGAGAAGTCAAGGATTTACTTCCAGACACAAAGGAAGGTCTCTAAACCAGTGCTTAGAAACTGTGCTTAAATTAACATTCCTGGCTTTAGGTGCACACTGTAAAAGTGACAAGTCCATCACACAGCTAGGAGTGACATTCCAGGTGACACAGACTGTTGTGGGGCTTGAAATCAGCATTTTTCCAAGGAGTTACTTCCATAGATACTTTGGACAGAAATGGACTAGCCCAGGACATTGCTTTAAGTCAAAATCATAGAATCAACCTGGTTGGAAAAGACCTCCAAGATCATCAAGTCCAACCCTACCGTGGTCACCAGACCATGGCACTAAGTGCCACATCCAGTCTCAGCTTGAAAACCTCCAGGGATGGTGAATCCACCACCTCCCTGGGCAGCACATTCCAATGCCTGAGCACTCTCTCTGGAAAAAATCTCTTTCTAATATCCAACCTAACCCTCCCCTGGCAGAGCTTGAAGTCTGTGCCCTCTTGTCCTGCTGCTGGTTGCCTGGGAGAAGAGACATAACCCAAAGGGATTTGGTTTGTGTTTGGGTTGTTTTCTCAAGACATACCAGGCTCAAAAGCACATGTATTTCCTTGCTCTGTCTTGGGCAGGAGTTCTGCTCGTTCTTTGTTTGTGACAGGAAAACTCTGAAGCAGAGTCCGAACAGCGTGTTTGGTACGGAGAGTCAAGTCACAGGTCATCACTGCACGTGTTAGCTCAGTCACATCCTTCTTCCTTACAGTCAGGCAGCGACTTGCTCCTTTTCTGGGGGGGAAAAAAGTATTTTTGGAGTGAGCAACCTACTTCCCTCTACAAAATTCCCTAAGTTTGTAAGAAAAAAAATGAATAACTAAAAATCAGCCTCTGACTTACCCTTTGCTTTTAGATACCAGCCCAAGAGACTGACAGAACCGGTGAATAAATGCTCTTTCAGTACCAGTGAAGCAAGAAGGAAATTCCAATTCTAGAAAGATAAAAATATAGAATAAAAAAAACCAACAAAAAAACCAAACAACAAAACCAACCCCCAAACCAGTACTTTTTGATGGATTATCTCGATGTACTGAGTGTTATCAACCCTGAAACACAGAACTTTTTGGGAACTCGGTGGGGTTGAGCTGCACCTGTGTCGTCGCTGAAGCAGAATCGCTCCAGGGCGAGTTCCACCGCTGTCTGCAGAGTCTCGTCCACTCGCCCATCCCGTGGCTCCCCCGAGCCCCCCCCGGGCTGCCGGGGAGACACCTTCCGAGAGCGGGACATGGGCTGCAGGGAGAGAGGGGAGGGGAGAAAAGGAGGGAGGAGGA